CACACCATGCATTTTCAACATAACTGGCCTAAGATTCCCAACAATAGATTACTGCTTTCTAGCCATACCTACTAGAATTTCCAAGCAGGCTAAGAAAAGAAAACAGAAATAACAGCAGCCCATCATCAACCAAGGACTATATATTCTTGACTCATCCCTATAAACATCTTTTAAAAACAATTTTATTTTAAAGATTCATTTATTTATTTGAAAGGTAGAGTTACAGAGAGGCGGGGGGTGGGAGGGTTGTCCCTCCATCCACTGAGTCACTCCCCAAATGGCCATAACAGATGGAGCTTGGCTGATCCGAACCAGGAGCTTCCTCTGGGTCTCCCACGCTGGTGCAGGGGCCCAAGGACTTGGGCCATCTTCTACTGCTTTCCCAGGCCATAGCAGAGAGCTAGATCAGAATTGGAGCAGCCAGGACTTAAACAGGCACCCATATGGGATACCGGCACTGCAAGCAGCAGCTTTAGCCACTACACCACAGCACCAACTCCTAAAAACAACTTTAAATATCTTTATTTTACCAAAATTTTCATCTCAGTCTGACTAGTTATCATCACCCATTTATACTGAGCAAGGAAGAAGCAGCTGCCTGGTAACTAAATGGCTCTGAAATAAAGTACCAGATCTGTCAATCATAGAAACCCAAAGCTGTAAAAAACCTGAGCTCAGGGACTGCACTGTGGTTCAGCGAGGGCCACTGCGGGGATGCTGGCATCCCATGTGAGTGCTGGTTTGAGTCCCTGCTGCTCTACTTCCAATCCAGTTCCTTGCTAGTATGCCTGGGAAAGCAATGAAGATAGCCCAAGTACTTGGGCCCCTGACACACACATCAGAGACTAGATGAAGTTCTAGGCCCCTGGCTTCAGCCAGGCCCAGTCCCGGCCATTGCAACTGTTTAAGGAGTGAACCAATGGATATAAGATCAATCACTCGATATCTCTCTCTCTGTAATTCTGCCTTTTAAATAAATAAGTCTTATGGGGAGAAGAAAAAAAAGAGCCTGAGATCTTCAGTAAAACAAGCAAGGAAACTGATGCCAAAATGAGCCTACTACTTCTTCCAGCTTCCATGCTGGAAAACTGAGATTCTGTGTTTTGTGGCTTTAAGTTAGAAGGTGTTATATCTAGGTAAGTAATGACAAAATTAACTAATGTCCATTTTCCTACATATAGACAACATAAACCTAAAAGCAATTCACCTGCCACAGGCATTTAGTCTAGCAGTTAAGAAACCCAGGTCTCGTATCAGAATAACTGGGTCTGATAACCAGCTCCTGACTCCAGCTTCCTGTTAACACAGGCCTAGGGAGGCAGAAGTGAAGACTCAAGTAACTGGGCTCTGCTATCCACATGGGAGACACGGGTTAAGTTCCTGGCTCCCAGCTTTGGCCTCAGCCTTGGCTGAGTACCAGTCACTATAGGCATTTGGGGTAGTGAGGCAGCAGATGCGAACTCTCTCCATTTCTGTCTCAATGACAGATTTTTATTTACTTTTATGTACTTGAAAAGACAGAGTCAGAGAGCCAAAGACAGAGATCTTCAATCCACTGGATTACTCCCAAAATATCCCATGTGGGTGGCACGGAACCAAGTACGCCAGGTGTCACCTGCTGCCCCCTAGGGCACACTGTAGGAAGCACTGCCAGGGCTCCAGCTCAGGCTCCAGTGAGTGATGTGGGCATCCCCAGTGGCTCTTTAACACCACCGTGCCAAATGTCCACCCCTCTCTACTAAATTTTTTTTAAATCCTAAGAGCCAATAGTTCATCTCTTGAAAAAATAAAATAAAAGCAATTCCCTTAAACCGTTAAGAGTTAGTTCATAAGATTTCCATGACTTTGGTTCATATTTTAATTAGAATAAAAGCAAAATTTATAACCAAAATAGCCCAACTTTAGTGATTCAATCCAAATCAAACTAGAAGACAGAGATAAATACAGTTCTAACATTCCAAACTAGAATGCCATTTTTTGTGCCAGTAATAACTTTTCTTCCTATCAACATTCTCTACAAGGTATGGTACTTAACTTCAGAAACCAGAATTTTAGCAAAATGTTGCATAAAGCCATTTTGATAATTATTATCTCCGTGGCAATGTTTCATTCGTTTATCAAACTATATTTAGTATGTTCTTATCTTAAGTAAACTGACATAAAAATTAGCCAAAGAAATTTTCATGAAGTTAAATCCACCAAGTTTTCAGAGGCTGACTTCAGAAAGTTAATTTCAAGACAATGAATGATCTCACAGCTTGAGATTCCAAAGTCAAGATTTCAAAACTTCTGTGGTTGGAACTGAATTTTTGTGTTGAATACCACAGACACTTTCAGGACTGGAGGAATGTCATCTAAAAACATCAGTTCAAAGTACTAATGACTTCAGGGCTACTTTAATTCTTCAATAGAAAAAAACTTTTTGAAGATTTATTTGAAAGGAAGAGGAACACGGAGAGAGGGAGAGAGATGAAGATCTTCCAGCTGCTGGTTCACTCCCTAAATGGCTGCAATGGCCAAGGTAGGGCCAGGCTGAAGCCAGGAGCCCAGAACGCCATCCAGGTCTCCAACATCGGTGGCAATGGCCACCTTTCACTGCTTTCCCAGGTGCATTAGCTTAGAGCTGGATTGGAAGGGTAGAAGCAGGGACTCAAAACAGAGTTCATATGGGATGCCAGCATCACAGGTGGGGCTTAACCACTCCCCTCCAAGTCTCTTTTATATACCTAAAGTCGACACTTCTTTAAACACGACTAAGCGGCTGGCGCCGTGGCTCACTTGGCTAATCCTCCGCCTTGCGGCGCCGGCACCCCAGGTTCTAGTCCTGGTCGGGGCTCCAGATTCTGTCCCGGTTGCTCCTCTTCCAGGCCAGCTCTCTGCTGTGGCCCGGGACGGCAGTGGAGGATGGCCCAAGTGCTTGGGCCCTGCACCCGCTTGGGAGACCAGGAGGAAGCACCTGGCTCCTGGCTTCCGGCGCAGCGCGCTGGCCATAGTGGCCACTTTGGGGGTGAACCAACGGAAAAAGGAAGACCTTTTTCTCTGTCTCTCTCTCACTAACTCTGCCTGTCCAAAAAAAAAAAAAAAAAAAAAGACTAAGCAAAACAGAATTACACGGTTCTGAATGAAATAATGAGAAATTTAGTCATTGTTTTGAATATGATTTTTAATACTCTTATCTGGAGCATATATGAAAAATATATTTTGCTTTCTTCATCAGTACTCTCCAATTTAAAAATTATTTTAAATAGCATCTGATTCTATCCCCAAATTTCAAGGAAACAAGGTTTTTAAGCATCAGCAGGCATTTGGCCTAGCAGTTAAAATACTGGTCAACCCCGCACCCCAGGTCCTGCATCAGCTTCCTGCCAGTGCAGACCATAGGAGGCAGTATTGATGGCTCCAGTGACTAGTCTCCGCCACCCACAAAGGAAGCCTAAATTGAGTTCCTGATTCCCAGCTATGGTCCCGGTTGGAAGCCATTGCAGGCATCTGAGGAGTAAACTAGGGAATGGGAACTCTATGAACACAAATAAAAATTTAAAGGCAGAAGGGCCAGCATGGTGGCATAATGGGTTAAGCTGCCACTTGAATGCCGGCATCCCGTTTCGACACTGATTCACGTCCCAGTTGCTCTACTTCCAGTCTGGCTCCCTGCTCATGGGTCTGGGACAGCAGCAGAAGATAGGTCAAGTCCTTGGGCCCCTGCCACCCACACAGGAGACCCAGATGAAGCTCCTGGTTCCAGCCTGGCCCAGTGCTGGCCATAGGGCCATTGGGAGAGTGAACCAGCAGATGCAAGATATCTGTCTCTGTCTCTCCCTCTCTGTAACTCTGCCTTTCAAATAAATAAATCTTAAGAAAAGAAAGAAAGGAAGGCAGTTAAGAGAGGGTGATCTTCCATCTGCTAGTTACTCCCCAAATGGCAAATATTAAAAGACTCAGAATATTAAGGCCAATTCAAAAATTACATATACACATACACACACACACAGTGAAAATAGTAAAAGCAGTCTTCTCTACTTCTCATGTCAATAGTGTCATTTTGCACAGCTTTAATATATGTCAATTGATTTATCAAGATAACTAGACCTTAAGTGTTATAACTGAAATAATTCCCATCCTCATTAGCTGTGACAAGTCTATTAAGAAACACAGGGTGCACTTGATTCAAGAAGAGATTACCTAGGGGTCCAGCACTTGTTCTTGACTTACAGGGACCAGTCTCACCAGTAAGACAGACTGCTTCTTAGCAGCTCAAGGGCTTATTCAATTAAGAAAATTTGGAGAAAAAATAGCTTCACCCAAAATTATGAGTACAGCAAGTTAAATCTGATAGAAAGAGTGGACTTAAGAGGGACCAGCAATATGGCACAGTGGATTAAGCCACTACTTCAGACACCTACATCCCACACTGAAGAGTCCCAGCCCCTCCACTTCTGATCCCACCTCCTGCTAATGTGCCTGTGAGGCAGAAGATGGCCTGAGCGCATAGACCCTGCCACCCATGTGAGAGACCTAAATGGAGTTACAGGCTCCTAGACACAGCCCGGCCTCCTGCCAAGTATTGCAGCCATTTGGGAAGTGAAGCAGCAGACGACAGCTTTCTCTCTCTGTGACTCCCCTTTTCAAATTAATCATTTTTAAAAAATTTTTTAATTACAAAAAAAAAAAAAAGGTTAGATGAAATGTTACTAGCTAGCTCAAGTAATCTGGGGAAATTAGACTACCAGGTAAACCATAAACCTAAACTGAGGACGACACAGAGTTTTGACCAAATGCTACTAAAGCATAAGGAAAAAGGCAAGTTTCCTTTCTGCCCCCCACCCTGATTTGTGATGTGATGATTATGGACATGTATATATTCCAAGTTTATTCATTCAACTATTATAAAAACATTAATCATAAAGCAAGTTTAAATTAAAACACAAATTAAAGAAAGTATCTTCAGGAGGTGAAGTAGAAAAATTACAAAGAATCAAGTCAAAGTAAAACTGAATTACCTGGCTAACCAGCCAAATGATGTTCAGGTAGCAGTTATTTTTATTGGTCTCTGTGTTCACTGTTCAACAAGTATTTTGATCCTGAGAACAAAAAAAGGCAGAAAAGGGTTAAATTGTAATGCTCTTTTCATCATGTAAGCCTTATTATTAGTCATAAACACAAATTACCTGTTCCCATCCTTCCCCTCCCTGGATATATGAAACAAACAGAAGCTATCAAGTACACACTCCTAGGAACTGAGCAAAGGCCTTATTTTGCTATTATCATTCTTACACTTAAAAAGTCAGGTATGATACACAATATCCTCTGTCCACAGTATGTAAAATTGAACCCAGATAATTCGAGATTCAGGTAGAGAAGACCAGTTCCGGCCGGCGCCGCAGCTCACTAGGCTAATCCTCCGCCTTGCGGCGCCGGCACACCGGGTTCTAGTCCCGGTCGGGGCGCCGGATTCTGTCCCGGTTGCCCCTCTTCCAGGCCAGCTCTCTGCTGTGGCCAGGGAGTGCAGTGGAGGATGGCCCAAGTGCTTGGGCCCTGCACCCCATGGGAGACCAGGAGAAGTACCTGGCTCCTGCCATCGGATCAGCGCAATGCGCCGGCCGCAGTGCGCCAGCCACGGCGGCCATTGGAGGGTGAACCAACGGCAAAGGAAGACCTTTCTCTCTGTCTCTCTCTCTCACTGTCCACTCTGCCTGTTTAAAAATAATAAATAAATAAATAAATAAAAAAAGACCAGTTCCAAGTCCTGAAAAGTGATCAAAACCAATGGGTATGGAGATGTCCTCACGTGTCCAAAATGAATGCTCAACAAAGAGCAAGAAAGACGACATTAATACCTGGCAGATGCTGGTGTGTAACTGCCCTGGTCCCAAAAAGATCAATTCCTACCACGTGGAGGGATAAAGCAAGCACAGGGGAGCGAAGGGACACAGATGTTTCCTTGGCCTCGTCATAAAAGGATGCATTTGGGTCACCAAAAAGTAGTATTTCTAAATAGGAAACTGAGGAATGGTGTTTCCAAAACAATATGCAACAGAATACAGGAACATGTAAACAGCAGGCTTTACACATGAGGAAGCTAGGGAGCAGGTTCCGATGTGACAAAGAAATCAGCCAATGAAAACATTCACCTCAACCCACGAATTTCCAAATGTAACAACAGAGGAGCAGGCACTGTGGCACAGCAGGTTAAGCTATCATCTGCAGTGCCGGCATCCTGTATGGGCGCTGGTTTGAATCCCAGCTGCTCTACTTCTGATCCAACTCCCCGATGATGTATCTGGGAAAGCAGCGGAAGATGGCTTGAGTGCTTGGGTCACTGCACCCATCTGGGACACCTACATAAAGCTCCAGGCTCCTGGCTTCAGCCTAGCCCAGCCCTGGCAGTTACGGCCATTTGGGGAGTGAACCAGCAGATGAAAGATTGTCAATCACACATACAAAAACCAAATCCCACTGACATAAAAACTGAGTATGAATCTTTCCAAAATATTAGATAAATAAGAAGGTAAAGAGACAAAACTAATTAACTAGAATTTACAGAAAGGTGACTGATGTGGGGCTGGAGTTGTGGTGTAGTGGTTAAACCACCCTATGACTTAGCAATCCAGAGTGCCAGCTGCATTGCTGTTCATTTCCAATCCAGCTTCCTGCTAACATGCCTGGGAAAGTAACCGATGGCAGCCCAAGTACTTGGGTCCGGGCCACCCACAAAGGTTATCTCCAGGTGGAGTTCTTGGCTCCCAGTTTTGGCCTGGCCCAGCCTTAGCTATTGGGAGACATCTGGGGAGTGAACCAGCAGATGGTTCACTCAGCCTTTCAAATAAATAAATTTTAAAGGAAAAAATGGTGAATGATGGGATCTATGATATCAAAAGCTGCATCACCAAGGGGGCAGGGTGGGAGGAATGTCAAACCGAGCTCTGTGGAACTGGCACTGTGGCATAGCAGGTAAAGCCACCACCTGCAGTGCCCGGCATCCGATGTGGGCACTGGTTCTAGTCCCGGCTGCTCCATTTCTGATCCAATTCTGCTATGGCCTAGGAAAGCAGTAGAAGATGGCTCAAGTCTTTGGGCCCCTGGACCCATGTGGGAGACCCGGAAGAAGCTCCTGGATTCAGATGGGCCCAACTCCAGATGTTGCAGTCATTTGAGAAGTGAACCAGCAGACTGAAGACTCACTCTCTAACAGCCTTTCAAGTAAATAAATAAATCTTAAAAAAAAAAAAAAATGAGATTTGTTGATGGCTCATCTGAGAGGTGCCTGGAGGCCAGAACAAAGCATCAACCTGAGGGCAGAGAGTTAAGAGAGAAAATTGCATCTATATAATGCTGACGCCTGGAAAACACCAACAGGACAAAAGCGGCCACTGAATATTATGGACGTGTTTTTCTTCTGCTGTTGAACATGGAAGGGGGCAAGGGCTCCACCATTAATCACATTAAACTCATTGTTCTTTCCATGCTGCTACTGGCATTGCTCCCAGGGACTGCCTCCTCACTGTCCTGAAATCAGAGATGGAGGAAAACCCAGTATCACCCACTCATCTAGAGAGCAATACAGAGTAAGCTGGGTCTCCAATCAGATTTCCAGTTAAAGGCTGCATAACATCGCCGATAAACACAACATTCTTGTAGTTGATACATTTATCAAGTAGTAAACAAGTTGTATGTCAAAATTATAACATTTCACTTGCAAGAATCAACTGCACCCAGTATACAGCTACAATGAAAGGAGGAAATGAATATAAGTCAAAATTCTATGAAAATTAAAAATTCCATAAAAAGGTGCCATTTTAGCTTTATAAGCTTAATTTTTAAAATTTTACTATTTTTAGTCCTTTATTATATGTTCAAGTAAGTTAAAATGTTTTCGCAAGAGCAGACATTATAGCATAGAAAGCTAACTCTCATTTGGGATGCTAGCACCCCTATATTGCATCCCATATCCAAGTGCGTGGGGTCAGAGTCCCAAGGCTTCAGACCCAGCTTCCTGCTAATGCACACCCTAGAAAGCAGCAGATGGTGGCTCAAGTACCTGGGTGCTTGCCACCTATGATGGAGACCTGGACAGAGTTCTGGCTCCTGGCTTCAGCCTGGTGCAGGCGCTGCTGTTACAAGCACTTGGAGAGTAAGCTAGCAGATGGACTATCTCTTTCTCTCTCCCCCTTCTCAAATAAAAACTTTAATTTTTTAAGAAATTTATTTATTTGAAAGACAGAGTCAGAGAGAGGCAGAGGCAGAGGCAGAGAGAGTGAGAGAGAGAGAGAAAGGTCTTCTACCAGCTGGCTCACTCCCCAGACGGCTGCAACTGCCAGAGTTGGGCCAGTTGAAAATCGGGAGCAAGGAGCCTCTTCTGGGTCTCCCATGCAGGTGCAGGGGCCCAAGGACTTGAGCCATCTTACACTGTTTTCCCAGGCCATAGCAGGGAGCTTGAGCAGAACTGGAGCAGCCAGAACTTGAACCGCCATCCATTATGGGATGCCCTGGAGGTGGCAGCCCTACCTGCTATATCACAGTGTTGGCCCCAAAATAACCCTTTTTTTGAAAATGTTTTTGGTATCCAGAACATTGGTAAGACTTCAGCAACAGATTTTTTTAAAACAGTATCATGTTTTTGATGGGGGAGAAGGAAAAAGTATTACATTATATGCATATTTGATAAAATAAAAACAGGTTTGAAAAAAAAAAAATCTGACATGAGGCCAGCACCGTGGCATGGCAGGTTACGCCACGTCTACAGCGCAGGCATTCCATACAGGATCCAGTTCAATTCCTGGCTGCTCCAGTTCTAATCCAGCTCCCTACTAATGAGCCTGGGAAAGCAACAGAAGGTGGCCCAAGCACTTGGGCCCTGCACCCCATCTAGGAGACCTGGAAGAAGTTCCTGGCTTCAGATCGGTGCAGCTCCACCTGTTGCAGCCATCTGGGGAGTGGACCAGCAGATGGAAGACCCTTCTCTCTCTCTCTCTCTCTCTCTCTCTGTAACTTTCCCTTTCAAATAAAATAAATCTTAAAAAAAAAATAACTGACATATTACCACTTATCCTATGACATATACTAGAAAGGATCGAGATGACAATTTATTCTGTGTAGTTATTTAATAAATTATAATCATAAATAATTTTAAAATTATAATAAATATTTAGTTCTATACATAGTCGACCTGAAAATTTAAAAGATGAAGGGAAAACAGAATCCTTGGCTTTAGAAAGTTTTATAATATCCAGCTTACTGAAATGACCTTGCACAAGCATTTAATTCAATTAACTGCTTACTTTGTGTCTGTTAGATGCCAGGCACTGCGCTGGTCCTTAGAAATACAAGCAAATCATGGTTCCTACAGTGACTGAGGAAAAGCGAAGCAGGTCTGAAGAGCCCCGCTTTATACCTTCCCTGAAAGGAAGGCCATGTTCAGCCAGTAAGCACTTGCTGAGCACCAGCGTGCCATCGGGCTAGACAGCGGGATAAAAGAGCCCCAAGTGCAGGGCATGGCCCTGTGAGAGCGGGAGTACAACCGGAGAGAAGGACAACCTGCCTTGCCATTTTCACAGGGTCGTCACTATTCAAATGTGAAAGCAAGGCAAATCCATTTATCTCAGCCCCAGCCCAATAAAGGACTAGTGAAAACATGTACAATTTTTGCACTTATTGTCCAGACTTATCATAATCAAAGTGCCATTTTAGTTTCTTTACAATAAAAGGCAAAAGATGTCATCTATGTAAAAATTACATAGATGGAACACAGGAAACATTAAATGGGGTATATAAAGGTAGGTGAAAATGAAAACTATTTTTAAACCAACATATCCAGAAAATTATGCCATACATGTGCTTACACATTGATACTGTCCAGTAATTGAAAAATAGCATTAAACGTTTTAATTTTTCAAATTACTTTGAGATTGAGAACCAAACTAAAAAATCCCGTTGGCAGACCAGTTTACTAGCAGAACCCGTATCTTTGGCTGAGCTAAAGTCAGGAACGACAAGGTTACTGAAACAGCCTGCTAGCGCACGTTCTGCCTCCCTCCACCCTCCTTGGCAAAACTGCATGCAGAGCTGCACGATCAGGCAGAAT